ATACTAATTTCCTGCATGTATTAACTTTAGGAAAAAATATATAAATAACTTATTCCATACACGTGTTTCAAAATATCAAAGCTATCAGTATTTAAGACTTCCCAAAGTTATCCCTTTCATTTTGTTATTCCAAAAGACATGTAAGCTCTCTTCTTAGTAAAAGCTCATGTATTCCAAAATTGGATAAAATTAGGTACCTTAAGGAGTCTGCATCCTATCTGATGAGGCGGGAATTATATATACTTAAAGGATAACAAGAAGAATATGATAAGAACTCAGTAAACTGTGCAACAAGTATAGCATTCAAAGGAAAGAGATCACTGAGTTTGGGGTCTGAGGGAGGAGGGGTTGGTTAGGAGAGGCTCCACAGAAAAGGTCAGTTCTGAACTGGACTTTGAAGAAAAGAGGAAGAACACAAAGGCAGAGTGGAGGTAGATGGTATTACAAGCAGACAGAATATCACATATAGGAATGTAGAGACCAGAAATGAAAAGATGGGTTCAGAGGAAAGCAAGTAAGCAGCAGCACTTTAGTAGATATATGTAGGGGTAGCACTCTAGTAGGTTTATAGAAATGTTGAAGAAAATAGATCACACAGGGACTTGAATATCAGTCTAACCAACTGTGGAGGGAATATTATTTGCCAGTTACAGTCTAATGTGATTCTTAAAATACTTATCTTCTTATTGGATCACAAATTTCCTAAAATGACGCTAGTCATTTATACAACTGCCTAAACTGAAAACTCAGATGACCATTATATCTACTACTGTGCGCAGGAATCCCTAACAGAAATGCAGTAGCCATCATAGTCAACAAAAGAGTACAAAAAGCAGTACTTGGATGCAGTCTCAAAAACGACAGAATGATCTCTGTTCGTTTACAAGGCAAACCATTCAATATCACAGTAATCCAAGTGTATGCCCTGACCAGTAATGCTGAAGAAGCTGAAGTTGAACGGTTCTATGAAGACCTACAAGACCTTTTAGAACTAACACCCAAAAAAGATGTCCTTTTCATTATAGGGGACTGGAATGCAAAAGTAGAAAGTCAAGAAACACCTGGAGTAACAGGCAAATTTGGCCTTGGAGGACAGAATGAAGCAGAGCAAAGGCTAACAGAATTTTGCCAAGAGAACGCACTGGTCATAGCAAACACCCTCTTCCAATAACACAAGAGAAGACTCTACACATGGACATCACTAGATGGTCAATACAGAAATCAGATTGATTATATTCTTTGCAGCCAAAGATGGAGAAGTTCTATACAGTCAGCAAAAACAAGACCAGGAGCTGACTGTGGCTCAGATCATGAACTCCTTATTGCCAAATTCAGACTTAAATTGAAGTGGGGAAAACCACTAGACCATTCAGGTATGACCTAAATCAAATCCCTTATGATTATACAGTGGAAGTGAGAAATAGATTTAAGGGACTAGATCTGATAGACAGAGTGCCTGATGAACTATGGGCGGAGGTTTGTGACATTGTACAGGAGACAGGGATTAAGACCATCCCCGAGAAAAAGAAATGCAAAAAGGCAAAATGGCCATCTGAGGAGGCCTTACAAATAGCTGTGAAAAGAAGAGAAGTGAAAAGCAACGGAGAAAAGGAAATATATACCCACTTGAGTGCAGAGTTCCAAAGAATAGCAAGGAGAGATAAGAAAGCCTTCCTCCGTGATTAGTGCAAAGAAATAGAGGAAAGCAACAGAATGGGAAAGACTAGAGACCTCTTCAAGAAAACTAGAGATGCCAAAGGAACATTACATACAAAGATGGGCTCAATAAAGGACAGAAATGGTATGGACCTAACAGAAGCAGAAGATATTAAGAAGAGGTGGCAAGAATACACAGAAGAACTGTACAAAAAAGATCTTCATGACTCAGATAATCACGATGGTGTGATCACTCACTTAGAGCCAGACATCCTGGAATGTGAAGTCAAGTGGGCCTTAGGAAGCATCACTACGAACAAAGCTAGTGGAGGTGATGGAATTCCAACTGAGCTATTTCAAATCCTAAAAGATGATGCTGTGAAAGTGCTGCACTCAACATGCCAGCAAATTTGGAAAATGCAGCAGTGGCCACAGGAATGGAAAAGGTCACTTTTCATTCCAATCCCAAAAAAGGCAATGCCAAAGAATGCTCAAACTACCGCACAATTGCACTCATCTCACATGCTAGTAAAGTAATGCTCAAAATTCTCCAAGCCAGACCTCAGCAATAAGTGAACCAAGAACTTCCAGATGTTCAAGCTGGTTTTAGAAAAGGCAGAGGAACCAGAGATCAAATTGCCGACATCCGCTGGATCATCGAAAAAGAGAGTTCCAGAAAAACATCTATTTTTGCTTTATTGACTATGCCAAAGCCTTTGACTGTGTGGATCACAACAAACTGTGGAAAATTCTGAAAGAGATGGGAATACCAGACCACCTGATCTGCCTCTTGAGAAACCTATATGCAGGTCAGGAAGCAACAGGTAGAACTGGTCACGGAACAACAGACTGGTTCCAAATAGGAAAAGGAGTACGTCAAGACTGTATATTGTCACCCTGCTTATTTAACTTACATGCATAGTACATCATGAGATGCGCTGGGCTGAAAGAAGCACAAGCTGGAATCAAGACTGCTGGGAGAAATATCAATAACCTCAGATATGCAGATGACACCACCCTTACGGCAGAAAGTGAAGAACTAGAGAGCCTCTTGATGAAAGTGAAAGAGGAGAGTGAAAAAGTTGGCTTAAAGCTCAACATTCAGAAAACTAAGATCATGGCATCCAGTCCCATCACTTCATGGCAAATAGAGGGGGAAACAGTGGCTGACTTTATTTTTCTGGGCTCCAAAATCACTGCATTTGGTGACTGCATCATGAAATTAAAAGACATTTACTCCTTGGGAGGAAAGTTATGACCAACCTAGGCAGCATATTAAAAAGCAGAGACATTACTTTGTCAACAAAGGCCTGTCTAGTCAAGGCTGTGGTTTTTCCATTGGTCATGTGTGGATGTGAGAGTTGGACTATAAAGACAGCTGAGCACCAAAGAAATGACGCTTTTGAGCTGTGGTGTTGGAGAAGACTCTTGAGAGTCCCTGGGACTGCAAGGAGATCCAACCAGTCCATCCTAAAGGAAATCAGTCCTGGGTGTTCATTGGAAGGACTGATTCTGAAGCTGAAACTCCAATACTTTGGCTACCTGATGTGAAGAGCTGACTCATTTGAAAAGACCCTGATGCTGGGAAAGATTGAATGCAAGAGGAGAAGCGGACAACAGAGGATGGGATGGTTGGATGGCATCACCGACCCAGTGGACATGAGTTTGGGTGAACTCTGGGTGTTGGTGATGGACAGGGAGGCCTGGCATGCTGTGGTTCATGGGGTCGCAAAGAGTCAGACACGATTGAGTGACTGAACTGAACTGAAATTGAAAAGAAATTTATGAAGGAATTCATAGAATTTCTTCATAGTACACCCAAGCCAGATGTGGTTATAAAATTCCTTTTATAAAGCATAGCTAATAAATAAAGTCAGTAATCTTAAAAAAAAAAAAATAATAAGCACAGCTGGCTCACAGAGTAACTTCAGAGATCTCTGAGTTCAACTCCATATTCATTTCTTACAGTTTCTTTATAGCCATATCCTCACATATTATTTTAAAGCATCTATCTGAACAATTTTCAAAGTGATGGTGAGTTCGCTATCTTGTAGGACCTGGGATTTTCTACACTAACTTGTCTAACCAACCCAATTCCTGGTATGTGCATGCATGCTTAAGTTGCTTCAGTCATGTCTGACTCTTTACAACCCCATGGACTATAAGCCCTCCACGCTCCTCTGTCCATGGGATTCTCTAGGCAAGAATACTGGAGTGGGTTGCCATGCCCTCCTCTAGGGGATCTTCCTGACCCAGGGATCAAACCCATGTCTCTTACACCTCCTGCATTGGCAGGTGGGTTCTTTACCACTAGCATGACCTGGAAAGCCCCCATTCCTGATATAGGACAAATTAAGTAGACAAAGGATTACAAAACTTCAGTTTCCTATGATTCCGTCCTATAAATCCAAATAATCAAAACAAAATTCTCTATATATACCACAATATAAGCTCTTTCAATGGAGAACAAACACAGAAAACTATCCTTAGTATGGTAGATTAGACATTTTTTTTTGGTCACCTAGCATCTTTTCTCCCCCATTCTGACTTTGCCTGGGAACAGGGAGGACCAGTTTCTCCCCTAACTGCTACATTTTTTTGATGTAGCAGGTAAATCCTATTACCAAGAGGTGGAATATATGACTATGAAATTATGATTGGTTAGGACTGGGAAAATGACTGAAGCTAAGGTATCAGCACTAATCTTAATCCAGAAAGAACAACAGCCTCCTATGGATCTGGAGTTCCACCAATGGGAGGCTGAAATTGCTGCTATCGTTTTACTACGACAAAGGGAGAATCTATCTATAAATGAAGTCAACCCAGAATAACAGACCGAGAAACAGAGATGGGGATCTGGGTCCTCATGACATTATTTAAATGCCTACTTCAAACCACACCCAAGTTAGATGTGTTTTTTTTCTTAAGCCAAGTTTGGATTTTTTCTTTCACTTTCATCCCTAACAGTACTACCCACAACAGTAACTGCCAAACCCTACAAAAAGAAAAGTAGGTCAACTTCTCAGCATTTTATCTATTATCATGCATTATCATATAATTTGGCTATACCAATAACCAACTATACATATTAAATTTAAAAAATGAGCCTGGCATGCTTTAACACAGCATTTCACGTTCAACATTGCCTTGTACTGTCTTGTTTCTAGACAAAAATCAGTATTTTAAGCAGAAGAAAATGACTATAACTTTATATATAACACTGTAAAGGCAAAAATAACCCAGAAATTAAAAGTTTCCATTACATCCTATTAGCTATTTTTAAAAAACAGAAAACAAACAAAAAAACCTAATGAACTATACAGAAGCCATGTAAAGATTCTTACTTGAAGCTGAAGAGTATGTCGAAGAATAGTTTCTTCTAAAGCATGGATCCACTTCTCTCTCTCATCAGCATCACGAGCTGGAATAAAAGTTTATAAAAAGCAAAACCTTAATATCTACAATATAGCTCCATAATTGGAAGCAAAAATTTTAAATCATGAATCTAAATAGAAAAGGTTTTTCCTTAACAGGTTTTATCTTTCTATTTTTTTCAAATATGCAACCTAATTGCAGCAATTTATAACAAAGAGAATAAATGTGTTCAACAATTGCAGGCTACCTTCCCACTGGGAATAATTAGAAAAGTTAAAATAATTTAAAATAACTGCTTTGAAAGCATCAGAAAACAGCAAGATAGTAAAGAATTAACAGGCCAAACTCTAGGAAAAGACAAACATCCAGCCTGGTATTTAGGGCCACTGTCCTCCTGGAGGCATTGTACATTTCAAAAGAGGAGTTGTAGACTGAGCAACTTCTTAAAAGATTTGTCATTATGTTTGAGCAGGGGACATATGGGGACTCCATGTACTTTCTGCTCAATTTTTCTGGGAACCTAAAACTACTCTAAAAACCTCTGTTGGAAAATAAAAAGTCTTGTCAAGCCAAAAATTAAGAAAGCAAGGCTGACCAACAGTGGTGGCTCTGGCAAACAGCTCAGGTTTTGACTGGGACCTCAAAGGGCTCCACCTTGGGATTAAGAATAAAACAGGGGACTTCCCTGGCAGTCCAGTGGTTAAGACTTCACCTTCCAATGCCAAGGTGTGTGGGTTCAACCCCTGGTTAGAGAGCTAAGATCCCACATGCCTGGAGACTAAAACAGCAAAACATAAAACAGAAACAATATTGTAACAAATTTGATATAGACTTTAAACATGGTCCACATTAAAAAAAAAAGACTAAAACAGAATTAAAACAGTTGCTCAGTCCTGTGGCTCATCCAGAAAAATCTTGATGCCTGAAATAAATTAAAACTACCCCAAGTTGTTACTGACTCTCAGCATCTAGCTAGCAAAAGCAAATGAATATATTTTCTGCAGAAAGATAACATATCAGCTTCCAAATTATTTTTATAAACAATTTTTAAATACAATGACTAGCACATAAGCAAAGATAACCAAAGATATACAAGGAGACAAATCCACACATGAATGAGAAATCAAATGACAGAAACAGATCAACAAGAGCTCCAGATATTTGAACAAACAGTCCCACAACTGAAAAGTAACTATGCTTTAATTCATTCAATAAAAGACTGGAAGCTTTGACAGAGTCTTAGAAACCATTTTATAAATTATATGGGTTCTTTAAATAATTAAATATAAATTCTAAAATTAAAAAAACATCATAATAAGCAAATTAAGAACTCAGTGAATGAGTCTGACAGAAGATTAAATTGGTTAAAGAGACAATGAGAACTGGAGGAGAGACCAGAAGAAAATCATCAGAACAAAAGACAAGTCAGAGAGAGAAAATACAGACGAAAGGGAGAGCAACACAGACAGTAAGAGGGTGTAATATGCATGTGACTGAAATACCAAAAGAGGACAAAAGAGAGAAGAGACTAGAAGCACTATCTGATGAAGAATTTTTCAAAACAAGATGAAAGACATTAAGCCATGGATTCCAGAAGCCCAGGCTTCCCTGGTGGCTCAGACAGTAAAAGAATCTGCCTGTAAGACAGGAGACCCGGGTTTGATCCCTAGGTGGAGAAGATTCCCCTGGAGAAGGGAATGGCAACCCACTCCAGTATTCTTGCCTGGAGAATTCCATGGACAGAGGAGCCTGGTGGACTACAGTCCGTCAGGTCACAAAGAGTCAGACATGACTGACTGACTAACACACACAAGAATTCTAAGCAGGCTTAATCAAAGAAAATCCACAGTTAGACCAATCCCAGCCAAAACTTACTATAAACCAAAGACAGAGGAAATATTTTAAAAATAGCTGGGGGTGAGATCTAGACAGTTCAGACAGTTCTCTAACTATCAGGTGAGGTCACAGAAAAAGTGCACTTTTGGTAGATCAAAAATATCCTATATTAAAATAATTGAAAAATCCATGGCTAATTCATGTCAATGTATGACAAAAACCACTACAATATTGTAAGGTAATTAGCCTCCAACTAATAAAAATTAAAAAAAAATTTTTTTAAAATAATAATAATAATTGAAAAGTCATCCCATTAAGGAAACTCCAGACCCAGAAAGTTTTGCCAGAGCACTGTCAGACATTTATGAAGAAAGAATGCCAATCAAACACAAAATATTCCAGAGAAAAGAAAACGAACACTCCTCAACTCTTTTAAGGTCAGAATAACTTTGATATTAACCTGACAAGACTATCATAAGAGAAAAAAATTTAAGGCAACTCTAATGCAAAAAGGATATGCAAAAATTCTTTATAAAACTTAATATGTCAAACTGAAGTTGAGTTTATTCCAGAAATACAAGGTTGGTTGAGTATGGGAAAAAAATCAAGCAACATTGAACAAGATAAAAATACATATGAATAAGGTTAGTCAGTGTAGCATTGTTTATAATTACAAAATACTGTAAAACAACCTAAATGCTCAGATAGAGGAAGATGGTTGAGTAAACCATGGAGTACAATGCAAGCGTAAAAAAGAGAACAAGGAAGATCACTTTTGAGTGATTTGGGGTGATTTTTCAGATACATTATTCAATGAACACAAAGAAGAAAGAAAGAAGGGGATATAAGAAAATATACTCACATCTGCTTATTTGTGCAAAATAGATATAAGGAGGATGAACTATAAACTAATGAGATTGGTTACCTACAAAGCACAGTGGGAAAGGATGGAAATCAGGAAAAATAGGAATGAGTTAGGGGTACAGAGGTAGCAATACTTCTCTGAATTTATCATTTTTTATCTACTCAGATTCTTTAAAGTCACAGTAATATTTCACATTCTCCCCCAGATAAATAATTTAAATCAACCAGGATGGGGAGAGGGAACCCAAAATTCAAAGTAATTCTGTATATGTGCTCAGTCATGTCCAACTCTTTGGGACTTCATGGACTATAGCCCACCAGGGCCCTCTGTCCATTGGATTATTCACACAAGAATACTGGAATGGGTTGCAATTTTCCTCTCTAGGGGATCTCCCCAACCCAGGGATTCAGCCCACGTCTCCTGCATCTCCTGTATTGGCAGGCAGATTCTTTACCACTGAGCTATCTGGAAAAATATAATATAAACAGTAATAAATTAACCTAACTGTATTACAAATGAATAAGACAATCACACTGAAGGGTATGAGGAAGAAAAAAGAAAAGATTAAGCCCAACTAACTTTGAAAACAGTATTCTGACTAGACAATGCAAGGCTAAACCAAAACAGAACCATACAGAAATACTGTACAAAAATTGCACAAGTACTGTAAATTTGGTTTTCACAGGAGTATAGTTAAGCAATTCTGTAACTACAAACAAGTGAATATATTGTAGATAATGCCAACTCCGGTTTCTCAGTGTCTGAGGGAAAAAAATTACAGATGAGGAAGAAGGATAGAATGAGCCATATGGTATTAAGACTAGAAAAGAAGGTATCACTATGAACTCAGGGTTCTAGACAGGGAGACAGAAAGACAGGAAGTGCATGAAAAAGAACGGGGCATGTTAAAAGGTAAAAGGAGCCAAACTGAAGGAGTTCCAAAAACCAAAGACTAAAGAATGTGAGCAATATAATAACTGATAGTACTGAATTATAATCCAAAGAATAAAATAAATATCTAAGAGTGCAATATTGATATACATTACTTGAATAAGTAAATAGATGGGGAAGAAGGCACAGCTCTTTCTTCAGAAGAGTTACAATTCATAAGTATAGTAGGAATGACAGCAATGTTTAAATCACCTGTAGACAAATACGACAGTAATAATTATTGAAGGCAAGACTGGTCAATGGCATACTGATAGCTAAAATCAGTGGGCAAAAGTTTGAGGAGAAAGAGGATATTAGTAGAGTCTCAAAGTATCTCTCCCAATGTATTTATTAACTATGAAGGGAAAATCAGTAATTTTATAATGGAGAAGTCTGGCAGACACCACCTTAATCCAGTGATCAAGATTAATATCACCAGTAACAAATTTCTTGATATCATATACCACTCCCTCGATATGACCCACTGAGAAGGAACAGCATCACTTCTGTAGTATTCTTGCCAAAAACACATAATCTCACTCTAATCATGAGAAAACATCAGATAAACCCAAACTGAGAGGCATTCTACAAAATAACTAAAACTCACCAAAAATGTCAAAGTCATGAAAGACAAGAGGAGTAAGGAACTTTCATAACTAAAGGCAATATGGGATCTTAAACTGAACCCTGGAACAGAAAGGGGGCATTAAAAGGGGAAAATCACACGAGCTCTGTGCTTTAGTTAAAAGTATTGTACCAAATGGGTAGAAGATTCAGCTCAGGACATCCGAGTCTGAACAGGACAAGGAGGGCATACATCAAACCAAGGAACAACCTGGCATGGGGTATCAAAGCCAGCAGGATGAAGAGGAAAATCACACAATGGAAAAGTCCAGGGTGGGGAGTCAGAGCCCAAGATGGAGTCCACATTGGGCAGGGGGATTGGGTCAGGCTGGTACAAGGTTTCCAAGGCTGAGTGGAATGAGGGTGACATCCACACAAGGAAGTGGGTGATGATGGGAAACTAACTGCATACAGAGGGATTGATCAAATGAGTAAATATAACAAGGATGAAGGGTTTCTAATTGTTGGATAGTTACAAAAATGGTAAGGGAGAAAATCAGAATGATTTCTGCAATGGTAGGCTGGAAATACAGGTGTCAGTATGAACTAATAGTTTTTAATATTTATGTAAATAACTACATATGGAAATATGTACACGAATACACATTTATGTACACATGTATGTAACATTCATATTTTCTTAGCTCTGAGAGGGCCTGGGCACTATGAAAGCAGACAGCAATAAGTACACCTAGCATCAGGTACTGATTTCTAAATATCTTTCTCCATTACAAGGAACTAGGGCTCCTTGAAAAAATGGTTGATTCCAGGACTGGCACAGGGAAGACAGA